ACGACCAAGGCACCATCACCCAAAGGCTGGGATGTGCCTGGGCAAACGCAGGTCCCTGGCTCCACCACGGCCTTCCCAGGGGAAATGCCAGGGCCTGGGCCACATGGGCCAGAGCAAACCTGGCCTTGAACGTCCCAGTTGTGAATGAGACAGAACTGGGGCGGGCCAGCCAATGCTCCCAAACCAAGGAATGGCGAAGGGAGGGAATGCCTAAGGGAAGGGAAATGGAAAGGGAGCTCCGCTCTGCTCCATGGCTGGATGTTCCAGCAAGGTTTGGGACCTGCTAATTCAGTGCCACGGGGGATGCAGAATGTCACCTCTCGAGCCCAGGAAGGAGAGGAAGGCAACTCGCCCTGGAAACGGGGACACGAACAAGGCAGGACAAACTCACACTTGGAAAGGAGGGGAAGCCACGGGGTAAACAGAGGAGTCTGAATAGCCCAGTGAGAGCTGATGAGCTTCGAGCACAGCTGGATGTCAGGGTCAATCAGAGCCAGCCCTCTGAGCTGGCTCCTTGCCTAATTGCATCAGGGAAAGCAGATGAATTTTGTCTCTGTTTTAAAAACACGAACTTAGGGCACAGAAAAATGCAGCTGAAGGCCAACTACCTGTGATTTTTCCACGGATGCCGTGTGCTTGTCACACATGGGGCTGATTTCCATTCCCCTTTCTCGCTCCTTGTCTCCCTGCTGGAAGAACTCCTCCATGATCCTGTCTGTCCACTGCCGGTACAGTTCCAGAGACTTGGTGGGATTACTCAGGTCTGCACAATGTACCATATTTCGGAGAACCTGCAATTGCGTTGATCAGAAAAGTCATAAAATTAAATGGAGAAAGAGGGTGGTTTCAGGCTGCATGCACTTGCTTAATTCTATAAAAATATTAATATTATAAAATAATATCCCTTTCCAGATATGAGACCAGCCCCTAAGGTCTGCTTTAATAGTAAATTCTGTGCTGTATTTTGTTCAGACTACTCAATACCTAACACGCGCGGCGTTGAACTAATTACATCACATGGTTTTGTGCTTGAATGCAGGTGCTTCCCACCATTCAAAATTTATTTTCCTGTTCTCATATGGTTAAACGCTTCTACTTTATTAAATGAGTAATATCCCTTCCACACAAATAACACCTGCCTGATTAACTGTGGCTGGAAGGATGCAGACAGCCATGGAGTGACCTGTTTTATCATCATCATCAGTTTTAAATAAAGACGCCAAGAGGTTTTGCTATGAGCTTGTTGTTAGGAGCTGCCCATCAGATGGGGAAAGGATCAGGATAAGGCTCACGCTACTAAGTGAGCAGCTCTCTCCTGTACCACGCTGCCGTTTCTGTGAGTGAAGGACTGGATTATATGGAGCACCTGTATCCTGTCGGTGTAGTTATCCAGCAGCAGCACCCCCGAGCTCGTCACCTTCTTCGTTTCCACCATGGTCTTCAGGTCAGCCAGCAGGCTCATGTGCTTGGACATATCTGTTGCCAGTACCTTTGCAGAAGGGAAAACATGACCTTAAGTAGAGGTGGACACAGAAGGGAGCCAGGTTTTTGGTTAAGAGGAGTGGATCATGCGGGTGAGAGCACGGGGCGTAACGCGCACCATGTCGATGACCATCTTGCGCAGGGTCTGCCGCTGCTTCTTGGTGAGGTTCTGGAAGATGTCGCAGTGCTCCTCCTGGAGCAGTTTGAAGCCCACGGCCAGATGGTGGTTCTCCAAGACAGACTCATCGTTGTACATCAGGGCGAGCTCCGAATCTAGCAAAGACACATAAATATGAGACTTGACTATGGGAAATGTGGCTTTGAGCAGGAGCCTCAGATGGGTACCGATGCGTTTGTCCCAACACAGTGAATCAGGGCAAGGTTTTTTCTTTGGGCCGTGTCAAGAGCATGTGGTTTTCTAATCTGAGCACATATGTATACAATATAAACAGTCCTTTGCTCAGTTCTATTGAACAAAATACTACTCAGTTTACTTAGTTACAAGCTTCAAAATCACTGACAACAGAAAGCATGAAGCCTACAAAGATGCTTTCCAACACAGAACAATACCCATATTTTGGAATCAAGATATGTGCTCAGCCCGTTGCAGAGCAACACACAATATTTAGAGGTATCGTTGTCAATAGCAATAGAAACAGAAAATACATCCTGCATTATCTGTCTATTATTAATGATAAAACTTCCAGGACTGGAAGGCTTATTATGCATAGGCAAGGAATAATATCCACAGGCTTCAAGGTGACTTTGCAAACTGTACTGCTATGCCTTCCTGTGTTTTGTTAGGAATTTCATTTTAATTGCTTCTTCATTTCAAAACGTGTAATCATTTCAAAATGTGTAGCTAGTTTACTGCATAATATTTTGAGAAAGAAATACAGGCTGAAAGTCATTTTTAGTGACCTCACTGTAATGGAAAATGTGTGCCAGGTTTGTAGATGAAGTTATTGTTGTATCTGAAGCTGAACTCACTTGTATTAATTAGAAATTGATTGGAGACACCAGGGTGATCCACATCATGAATTGCAGCTGCAAAAATCGCAGCAAGGATTTCCAAATCAGTGAAGACAGCCTAGAAAAAAAAACAGGCATTTGTCAGAAAAGCCCTTGCATGTTATCTCTCAACAGCTTGGGAGGCTGGTTTAGCAAAAACAAACGGTTTGTGCTTTTGAATTAGTTTTCTGAGGACCAAGCAGTTACTCAGAAGCAGAGTCTGCGAGCAGCATGTGCAGATGGGGCAGGGATCAGGGACAAGCTGCTGCTGAAATTCCTTCACAGGGACTTCCAGCACCGAGCTGAGCGCGCACAGAGCAGGCAGCCTGCGGCATTTCTCATATATCTGAGTGCTACCAGGGACCGACTCAATTTAAGGCTCTTCTTCTGTGCCCACAATATTTTCAAGCAGCCATGCAAAGCATCCCGCGGGAAGACGCTCCGAGCTGGGCAACTCACGTCCAGGGCAGGGGTGGAGAGCAGCACGTGGGTGGACTGGGCCACGTCGGCCGCGTGCAGGCTGTTGTGGTACGCGACGTCCGAGTGGTAGTGGTCTTCCAAAGTCATCATGTACGTCACGAACGTGTCCGAGGAGATCTTGAACGTTTTCAGCAGGTCCCTCTCCTGCACAGAAATGTTCAAAGTACAGATAGGTCAAATAAGGAGGTGACACTGCCGAAAGCAGCAAAACAGAAAGTAATCTGAAACTGTATAGTGTAGCAGAAAAGCAGGTGGGATCACAAACACTCACCTGGAATATAGCATACATGATGCAGGTGAGGGGCCTGTTGTGGGAATACCTCGCGACGTTAAATATGTTGAGACCCCACTTGTTCAGGTCTTCCAGCTCCTTTTGAGACAACAACAAGAGAAGAGTTGCACCATTTTAACACATGTCCATATTTTGCCAGACGCTTCTGCATTCATCACTTCCAAAAAAGTTGGGAAAAAAAGGGGAAGGGGCCCTTAATGGTTGGTAATTACCCAAGTGCACAAGGGATAAGTGACACCAGGGACTCCTGGAATGACATCCTGCACGCAGGGCCCTTTAGCTGCAGGTGTGTTTCCTAATGACTCTCCTTAGCCTTCACTTCGTTTTTGGCCATTTTAGTGACATTTTCTTGAATTGTATATATTTAAGAATATGCCATTAGGGTCTGGTACTATTAATTACAATATGTAATTAGTCACACCCCTGAGGGGATTCTTTACAAGAGGCAGTCGGTCCAGGCAGCCCATTCCCTGCTCCAGGATAACCCCGACTCCCCTCCCCAGCTCCCGCCGCCGGGACCCCAAGGGCCCGTCCTACCTTGGCCAGGTGGTCTTCCTTCTCCGTTTTCACACCGAAGCGGGAAATGCTGGTGTTATTTAAGCTCGAACTGTGCATTAATTTCTTCACTCCGCTGATCTGCGTCATGAGCTGCTGCTTTTTCTTCTTCTCCCTGTCCTTCTGCGTGGGTGAAGGGATCTCCACATCGTTCTGCTTGTCTGAGGGGAGAGGGCAAAGGCATCAGCACCCATCAGACACCTCCCAAAAGCCCCCATCGCTGTTGCTGATCCAACAGCTCTGCTTCCATAGGGACCTTCTCCAATTTGGGGGCTGCTCCGAACAAAATTCCATGCGGAGCGGCAGCGCGGCACAGCGAGGAGCCTCCACAGCACCAGGTCTGCCCAACATTAGACACCTCCGTTGCATTTATTAACCATTTTTCTGCAAACCCAATGTACATTTGGGCAACACATCTGCCCCTAGAAAAGCACTCAAGTCTATATTTGCAGATTCACCCTACCTACCAGGGCCAAGCTCAGCTCTGTGCTCAGGCTCTCAAAACATCAACCCAACTACAGATCGGTGCCATCGATTTATCAAAGGTTTGCCCTATATAGCACATCCAGCTCCTAAAAAAGCACAGAAAAACACGCGATTCCCAGGGCACATCCAAGTCTGAGACAGTGTCTGGAATAGCAGGAACACCAGCGCGGGTCACGCAGGTACCCGGCGGGCAGAGCTCGCGGCCTGCGCCCGCTGCCGCCGCGGTCCCTGCGCCGCCGCTCTCCTCCCTCGTCTCCGGGGAGGACGGGAAGAGCCCCAAGCGGCCGAAGCCCTTGGAGGAAGCGGCGACGAGGCGGCAGCAGCCTCGGCGTTTTTGCTCAATGCGCAGCACAACGTAGCACTGCTGCTTGCTAATACAGAAGGCTGCATAAAAATGCTAATACAGCTAGATATGCCAATTTAATAACCTCAACTTTTAACTGGCTTTTTGTAATGTTTAATGCAGCCAACTGATTGCTCTCTCTGCTTTCGCCACATAGCGACAAGCGAGCACATATGGGTATCTTCATTTTTCTCCAGGCGTGCTCCAGTCTCTATTAACTCATATTCGTGAGGCTGTGAGTAAGCTGGATGGAGAAGAGGCCCAGTGGATCCCTACAAAGCTGTCACTAATGTTTATGCAGGTTGCTAACACTGGGATGTGCCTAATGATCCTGCGATCCCACTGAAATGCCCCAGGGAAGCAGGATTGGGGCCTTGGCAGAGCGCTGGCATCCCGTGTGTGCAGCACTCCCCGCTGCTGCCACCGGGACACGCGGGAAGGCTCTGCGTAACGCTGCTTTCCTCATGAAAACAGCCACCAATCCTAAAAACGCAGCATTTTATATTTCTGTAGCAGATGCACTTTGTGAGCGCAGAGAACCCATCCTCAAAACACTGATTCTTAACTCAGCTCGTGCGGGTGAGCGATAGCTGACGACACGGGGAGCGCTCCGCCTGCCAGCGCTGCCCTGCAGCGCGCCCACGACACGCACGTGGAAACGGGCCATCCCCGTGCGCTCGGACAGGCCGAGGGAGGCCTCGTCCCAGCGTCTCGTCCCGCTCCTCGCCGGCGCCGCTGGGAGCGTGGGGAGAAGGTGCGAGGGCAGCGGGGAGGCGGCGCTTACCCAGGAAGGTGTTGGAGATGTACTCGGACACCTGGTTCCCGGAGCGGCTCATCTCGGAGAGGTGGGTCAGCTCCCGGGTCAGCATCCGCTTGAACTGCGGGGGAAGCAGAGAGAGCGCGGGTTGGCGGGGGCTGCAGCACCCAGGAGGGTCTTGGAACAGAGTCAGCAACACGCGGTTAATCCAGACACTACCCAGCACCCTCACGAGTAGGTATTTCTGCTCAGTACATTAAGCTACAAAATGAATTTCCCTCAAAGATGCATATTAGCTTTCACTGCAGCAAATGAGAAGATCATGTTTCAGGTAATTTAGCTCAACCATCAAAGTCTGGGATTGGCTTAATTCTGCATCCTACAACCTTCTTTTGTTCTCAATTTCAAAACGCAAGTTTGCTCCATTCTGAAGCACGCAAGTAACAAATAATGCAGGACATAACAGAGGAGAAACATGCCGTAAGCCTGAGGACGCGCTCGGGTCATTGCAGCACAGCGCAGGATTTAAGCGTTTTTCCACCCGGATTCCTACAGGACCGAAGCTCCTCATTTCCTCCGCGCACGTCTCCACTGCAGCATCCTGGTCTCCTGCGCGGACGCGCTGCCGCAAGGCAGAGCCACCCGCATGCAGGGGAGCCGCGCGTGCAGCCACCCACCTTGATGTACCCCCAGGACACGCAGAGCAGCGCGTTGGCTTCGGGCATCTTGGAGAGCAGCCTGCGGCGCCGCGCGGGGGGAGAGGCGCCGCGCCGCGCGCGCCGGCTCCGCGCTCACCGCCAGCCCTGCCGGGGGTTAAGATGGAGGCGGCGCGGGCTCCAGCCCATCCCGGCCCCTTCCCGGGGATGCTCCGCGCTGCGGGGCTCCCGCCGGGGGGGTTAAACTGGGTTTTCCCCGGCGCGTTCAGCGCGACGGCGCGGGGACAGCTTGCAAGTGCATTGCAAGGGAAAAGGGCTAAGCTAACGAGAGCCTCCGCTCTGAGCAATGTAAATACTGCCCCTGCACGCCAGCAATCGCCACCTTACATCTTGAGCACTTCTGGTAACGTTGCTCATACGGTTACATTCCAGATTCCTGGTTTTTAATGGAAGTGTGGCAGCTCCCTTTGGCAGTGAGTGTGGCCAGGGCCGCAGCGCCCTCCAGCTGTCCCCAGGCACCAGGAAGGGCAGCGAGCTGCGGTGCAGCCTCCTCCGCACCCCACGTCCCCAGAGCCCTGTGCAGGGGTGCAGCGACTAATATTAAACAGCCCGCACAGGGCCCGCACATAAAGGACCTTTGCACTCGCATGTCTGATCTTTAAGTTGCAATCAGTCCCACCATCTCCTCTAGGAGCTTTAATGGTACTCTCTTTTCCAGGCTTTTAATCGGCAACCTCTCCTAAAGGCGGTGCAGACCAGGGCAGTGCCAGCAGCAGGCAGGGTGGCCACGGGGCGCCGCGTGCAGCAGCATCCGGGCGTCGTGTCCCTGTCACCGGAGCGCAGGGTTCCTCCGGAGTGGGGTGGTGCCCAGGCGGAGAAGCTGCTGCAGAGGCCCCGGGCAATCTGTTAAACCAGCCGAGGCTCCCCCCGCCT